CCACGTTTGGTGAAGCATCGGAGTCGGAGAAAGCAGAGGAGGCAAGGAACGAGTTCAAGGGATTCTTGAGGGTTGCAACTTGCCGCAGCACCCATTTTCCCGATTGAGCAAGAACTTATCGTAGCAAGCAGTTCTGGAAGATGGGCCTATTGCATGTTACACGTCTGCACAAGTAGGGTTGCGTGCAGTTTTTGTTCCCGACGGCTGCTGACGAGGGCCGCTGTTTTCTTTTTTTCCCCCTTCTACCAATGGATTCCCGCAAATCCAAGCGCCCAAATTTACATAAGCTTGAACTTGTGAATTTCCGTCACAGGGCGCTGGGCTTCTCTGCGATTCTTTACCAGGTTGCACACATTTCTCTCCCTGACACCGACACTGCAAACACTTTGGTTTTGCAAGGGCGTCAAAGACTGACGGACTTGGCTACCTTTTCACGTTCGCCTTCGGGCAGGCTCCGCGAATGGCGCTTCCACCAGCCTAGACGCTGCCTGGCTGCGAGTACCGCTGCGTTCTGATGTTAGATATGGGGTTTCCGCCCTGCCTACAGGGACCATCAAGGGCCCCTTGGACCAATGTGTTGGACATGTTCAGGAAGAGGATGTGTCAAAATGCATCTGTATTTGTTGCGGGGGTCAGAAAGGAAACCACAAGGAGCTTTGACGTACGACAGATCAGAGCCAAGTGTCTCCACGTCTCCTGCGGCCACTGGGCAAGTTTTGCCAGACACGTGTTCCGATTGACGCAGTAATATACCCAAGAGGCTAAAAAGGGTGTGTCTGTTTGGAGTTGTTTTTTTCTTTTTTATTCTCCGGGAATTCCAAAGCAACTCCACCATTCTGGGGACCCACATGACAAATGACACGAGTTGATTGGGCATCGGAATCCCATGGGCTGATAAGGATCGCCCTGCCATTGGGTTGACCAACACATTCCAGTCGATGGTCCATTTCGGAGGGACATGAGGAACTCACTGGAATTCCAACAAGAAACCAAGCAAGTGTTTTTGACGGTGCCCCATTTGCCCATCGCTATCTCTTTTGCTGTGCAAAGGTGTATGGCGACGTGACATTCCATGACGACCAGGATGGCACTGCCAAAACGTGTCTTGGAGTGAAACTTCTCGCATCGGGAACCTGTTTAGACCATGCTGGTGAGGTGCTAGGGGTGTGGCTCTTCCCGGAAGATGCTCCTGCCTTCGCTTGATGCTGGGCACATGGTAGGTGATACTTGAGAGAGGCATCCGCCATGAGTTTCGCATGTGGGCACTGTAGGTTTTGTCATGGCCCTGAGCAGCCGTCAGTTTGAGGTCTCTGTAAGAACCAAGGGGGGAAAGGAACAACTGGACTTGCCGTTTAGATTTCCTTACCGAAGGATCCTGACAGGGTTGAGGCTGGATAGCGATAGATTTCAACAGGGACCTGTTCAGTCTCTATGTGAGCCAAGAGTTCACCAAAGAAAATTCCTACCCCCGGAAGCCGTCGCGGAAGCCTTGAGCTCTTGGAATCTGCAACTGGACGGGGGTTCGATGCCTGAAGGCCAGCGGACCCCTTGCCTCGGGAGAATTCCGATGGGCTGAGGTTTGCCAGTGCCACCGGCGCGGTCACCTTCAACGGGGACATCGGGGTGGCAGCGGCCAAGAACCTCATCATGGCCAACACAGGCGCGCGAAGTCGAAACCGCGCGAGCGAGGTACGCGCCTAGTTTGTGTTGGTTCACTGGAAGGCACACATGGAAGCAAGAAGGGAGGCACCTGGAGGGTACTGGACCATGTGCTGACTGAGAAATGGATGTTGAAACAATATTGGCTTTGGCATTTCTTCAGAAAGTGATTGGCGTAAGTGAACCCCCGCTCTAGTTGAGTTGAACATAAGCATACGCACCCGTGATCGGACGGCTCGGGCATTCCGTTTCTGTGAGGTGGTCTGTGGACAGTTTTCCGGATTCCGGCCCTGTTGCATGAGACACGTGAAGCGGGTACGCCTCTTACGACTTCCGTGCCCAATGGCAAAACTATGAGACCCGAAGCTCAACTCTCAAAGCGAGGTGCTGTTTTGAGGCTCGAAGTGGAATCCATTCATTTCCCACTTTTCCTGGCAGATGCTCCAATTTGGGCGCACCTGTGCCAGGAGCCTTTTGCTTGTTCTTGCGAAGGTTCCTGCGAGTGCCACACCCCACAGGGTTTGCCTTTCCCCTTCAAGCCGCTTGCGAAAATGCTGGACCCTCTTCCTCCCCTTCCCACCGGTTTCCACGGGCTGGGAACCAACTGCAGGGGTGAAATACCGACAGTCCATGTGTTATTCTTGGGAACATCAGGGACACGAAAATCCCGAAGAAACAACAAACAGACACCATCAACAAACAACAGCGACTGAAAGCAAGACCAGTGCACTCACGATGGCCAGGGACTGGCCAGTTCCAGACGGGCACGGGCACGGTCACCCTCAGTGGGGACACAACGGTGTCCAGTGGCAAGACCCTTACCGTGGCCACCTACACCAACGCGCCCTGGCGGCAAGCCGTGGCCAACCTTTTTTCTTGGGCCTTTTGGGCCTTGCGTGACTGGATACATTGAATTTGCGCTCATCAGCATTGTTGATGGGCCCAAAAGCGGTTTTTCTCCCGCGCTTGTAAATCTGTTTGCGATCAGCTCATGTGCTAGCATCAGGGTCGAGCAGGCTGGAGTCAGGAGCACACCTCCCCCTGAAAGCCAACAGACGTCACAGCGAGAAACGCCGCTTGTGCTGGCAGAATGTTGGCCATTGGGCCTGCGTCATGTGACCCCCAGAATTTAGAGCATCTCCTTGAAACTACGTAAGCCTTCAGCTGCTGGTAAGATATTGATGAGCAGTAAGGGATGGCTTGGGTTGCATCTGTTCAATAATATGATGCGTCCATGGGTGTAATCTGAAGGATTAGAGAGAGACTAAAGGGGGGCAACACACACACACACACACACACACACACACACACACACACACACACACACACACACACACACACACACACACACACACACACACACACACACACACACACACACACACACACACACACACACACACACACACACACACACACACACACACACACACACACACACACACACACACACACACACACACACACACACACACACACACACACACACACACACACAACACACACACACCACACACACACACAACACACACACACACACACACACACACACACACACACAACACAAACACACACAACACACACACACACAACACACACACACACACACACACACACACACACACACACACACACACACACACACACACACACACACACACACACACACACACACACACACACACACACACACACACACACACACACACACACACACACACACACACACACACACACACACACACACACACACACACACACACACACACACACACACACACACACACACACACACACACACACACACACACACACACACACACACACACACACACACACACACACACACACACACACACACACACACACACACACACACACACACACACACACACACACACACACACACACACACACACACACACACACACACACACACACACACACACACACACACACACACACACACACACACACACACACACACACACACACACACACACACACACACACACACACACACACACACACACACTTAAACTCCAAATGGAGAGTGCTAATCTTTCGAGTACAACTGATGAGTCTCGAGTACAACTGATAAGTCTCGAGTATGATGAGGTTCGACTCGCATAACGCTTGGCTTCCCTGTAGTTACTTTAACAGGGACACACAGAAGCAACGGCAGTTCAGGGGGGGACCAAAAGGACATTCAGAACAACACAACCATCTCGGCAGGTACGTCTGACTGATCAGGTCAGATATCAGCGCAGGTCACGACCCTCTTCGTTGGGTCACCGGTCGTGACTGCGGGTGACCCCCCTGCTGAGAAACCGAAAGGGTGGTGACAGGGCATTCTGTCACTCCGCACACACACGCCCCTCAATGAGGGGCGAGAAGTCTCCTTTTCCGCAGGAAGATCACATGCTCAACCCCGTGTCCCTATCGTTGACCAAAAAATCCACCGCGGCGAGGGGAACGAGAAACAGCCCTAAACCGCTCAGAAGACGGGAACGAGAGATCACCACGTTGAGCATTACGAGTGTCGCCATAGAGGACTGAAGCGAGTTGTGAAGCAGTCGAGCGATCACCATGAGAAAACGGAGTAGCATAGGTGAACGTCTCCTCAACTGGAATGGCATCGGAATTCCGAACTTCACCAAGAGATTGATCATGCGAATGATGAGTTGTGAAGGACTCCATTCGAGACAGAATGCGCTGGTATCCCTGATGCTGCCAGTCGCGGATGGTCCATGCCTGACCGTGCTCACCAGTGCGCCCATTGGGATCAGTCACCCGCTGCCATTCCCGAAAAGAATTGTCTGGTAGATCAGGTACAGTTTCTCCGTGGTGCCATCGCTGAGGCTGTCCTGCAGTGTAGATCCGCACCCACTCCTGATCCTGCCAGACCGAGTATTCGAGCCATGGGTGCTGCTTCGAATCCTCGATGTCCATGTCGAAGTAAGAGGCAAGGCGTATCGCGGGCTCCGATCCAGCTGATAGAGGAACAGGCACCATGCACAACCATGTACAAGCAACAACCAAGCAAGGTAATGCAAGTGTGGAAACCACCCTTATTTTGTATGCTACCCCACTCGCGTGCGTCTAGTCCTCATTTAGCTCGAAGATAGGTCTCGCCTTGGCTTTGCAGCTGTCGGGAGGATTAACAGGCCGGTATGGGTCGGAGACCCCAACAGTCTCCGATGGTGTGATTCCACGTGATGCACGTACAGGTTGATGAAGTTGGGAAGCGTGACGTGCGCGAGCTGTCAGTTGTTGAGAAATCCCCTCTTGGAGACGAGTCAGTTCTTCGGTAGAGAAATCCGCCGCATCCGAGGATCTAAGGATCGCTTCTAACATCTGCGGTGACATACTCAATGCCGCGGATTGCGTGGCCACGCTGTGATGATCAGGAAAAGACATAGAATCAAAGTCATGACCAGCTTGAGGGGCAGCGACTCTCCGATAGCCCTCTGTGGCCCAGTCTCTTTTGTACCACATGGTGACATTGAGCTGCTCACCGTCTTGGTCCGGGTTGGGAGCATAGAACTCCCTCCACTCTCTATACGTGTGCGGTGGAGGTGGAGCATCATGTTCTTCATGTGGAGTCCATGATCCCGGATGAAAGATCTTGACCCACTGGGCATCTGGTTGTTGAGGATCCGGACACCATTCCAGCCACGGCATGACAACGCAAACCCGGAAAGACAAATTGATAGGTACGGCTGCAGACAACAATTACTGAAAGAGACACAACTACCACAGTGCAAGAAATCACTTTTGCAGCAATGCACGGCTCCGGTATCGAAGTCAATCTCCCGAATCGAATTGAACTGAACAGACTCCCCAGGAAGGCGAGGACGAGCATCAGCCACCATCCGAGTTGGAGGATGCCGATGAAGAGGTCAATCCAGCGTACATGAGGTCCGGTGCGCCCGAAGCGAAAACTGGCCGCGCAATGCTAGGGTGTGGGCGACCCAGCCGTTGGTATCCCCTGGTGACCCAGTCTCTATAATGCCAAGTATAGAAGGATGCATAAGATACCGGCTGCGAAACAGCACCTGTATTGGTGCCGCCTGTGCTATCCCTCGGCCAATACACTTCGAAGTGGTAAACCTTGCGCCATTCCCGATAGGTGGTTGAGTCATCCGGGGCTGGTCCCAAGGTGTTCTCGGCGACTGGATGCCACGGACCCGGTACATAGATCCGAATCCATTCTACACTCGTATTCGCGGGGCCATTGACGATGTCGTAGTCAAAGTAGCGAGGCAGGACCCATCGTGCTGCGCTATACATTGTACAATTGAACATATCAACCAGGCAAACCGCTCAGAGTCAAATGAAAGCGGCGAACAACTGGAGACGGAACGCACAACACCAAGCAAGACAACTCAACATGGAATCGCACACAAAGCAAGCACAACCGCGTCATTTTATCCGACATGTTGCTCAAGTATCACTCCGAATCGTTCCAAGGATCATAGAATGGTGGTGGTGACGGCTCTCGCCACGCCCCATCCGGAACCGATGAGTCCACCGAGGAATTGGCGTCTGCATTCACGAGCATCGCGAGTCCAATGGCTGGTAAAGGAGCTCCAAGTCGTTGATACCCTCGTGTTTGCCAGTCTCGGTACTCCCACACGTGGTAGGACACATACGAACTGGGCGTGACAATGGGATCCGCTGTTGTTCCTCCGGTGCTGTCTTCGGACCAGTACACTTGGAAGCGATATGACCTGCGCCACTCCCGATACGTGGAAGCGTAGACCGGGGCGAGCACTGGAGCATCATCGGGAACGGGTCGCCACGTGCCCGGTGAGTAAATTCGAATCCATTCCACTCCTCTCTCGATCTGGTACTCGAAATATTGAGGGTTCATAGCGGCAAGACAGGCTATCGCGCGGCCGCTAAAAGCAATCGAAAATCTGCGGCGAAGACACACATGCAATGACAACCGCGCGCAGCTGAAGTGTCAACCAAAGCAATGCAAGGCAACTTTTCAAACTCAAGGTGAGACACAGCAGCGAGGTTTGTAATATACGACTTATACGACGCCTAAGCTTCACCGCCGTTGATGCCGCGCACACCTGCAATGATAATGTCCTGGTCGTCTACGAGCACAAGGGGAAAGACATTTCCGCCCATGGCGCAGGAAGGCATGACAGTAATGCTTGCAATTTGCCGATGGGGACAGCGATGGACGGTCAGCACGTTTGGAGGGGAACACGGTAAAGGGCCGCCGAGATCTCCGCGGTGCAGAAGCGGATGCTGTCCGAGATCGTTTGGATGAACGCCCTGGACTGCGTAGCTCTTCATCACGGGAATTGTCAGTGCTGTAGATCGAGCGGCGTGTGCGCTGCGATTTCGATGTGGCAGGGCAGGATTGTCCGCGAGGAGCTGAGATCGAGGGGCTCCGTACTGAGGGCATAAACTGTGGGTGTAGAATCACCGGTGGTGGTGGCGGTGGAGGAGGCGGAGGTGGAAGAAGCAGTGGGAAACTTGGTGGGGGCGGAGGTGACGTAGTCTGCCGAATGGGTCTGTCAAGCAGGGCACCAGGTCCGTGAAACTGTAACCACGTCGGCTGCGCTCCATGGGTCCAAGTAATGTACGTCTGTACGACTTGTTCCGACATGATTTGAGCAACTCAGTCATGCATTCAATTCACGTCAGCGGCAACACCCACAACGGCAAGCAATATTACCCTGGTAAAATGCCAGTCAAGTGCAAGCAAGCAAATTTCATGTGATCAATAATGACTGCAATCCCAACCGTCGCAACAACCTGCAGCGCTAACCGAATACACCGCCACGGCCTACCATTTAGTCCTCCTGTGGTCGCTGTTGC